ATCGCAGCAATCGGCTCCGGAAACACACTAGCATCGCAAACCCTTAGCCCCTTCATTCCCTTGACCCTAAACTTATCATCCAGCACTGTTCCTAGAGCGCAAGTTCCCATTGGATGAGCTATGGTTACTGCAAAAGCTCTGATTCTTGCATCAATCTCCTCGTCGCTGCTCGCAGCTGTCAGCGCTGGGAACCTCGGATCTGCAGGTGGCACTTCGCCCTCAATCTCCAAGGCAAGTGGCTCTGTTTCCACAAGGCGAAGGTTTTCACGTATAGCCCGTCTAAGGATGAAGCGATCTGTCTTTGTGGACAGATAACGTGGATTGCAGACCGGGTTGTCCCTCGGATCGGCAGATCGAAGCGTCACGGTACCGCGTGACAGGGGAAGCATGTGGAAAGCGCATAGAGAAATGTGAGCACCATCTGCTTGAACTGTCGGAAATTCGGTGGCGTGCGCAAGAAGTGGGTAGTACCATGCTACACTGAGATAGTGGCTCCGATATGGCCTTAGTAGCAAGGCCTTCTCGCTGAAGCCATCAGGATTGATACCGTCTTCTCTTAGATGTGTCTCTATTTCTGCTGCTGGGAGGTTCGCAAAAAGGGCGAAATCAAACGGAAGACCTTGACCATATTCAGGTTTCACAGTACCGTTGAAAGGACGGGCGAGACCTTTCGAGGGATCTTTCAGTTTGTAGTATTGTGTGACAACGTTGTGGTCAGTGAGGTTCTGGCCAACGGCGGGCGATTCTACCTTCTGAGATATCCCGTGTTGCATGAGCTGATCCGCAGGGCCGATACCAGACAGCATCAGCAGCTGCGGTGTTCTGTGAGCGCCACAAGAGATGATGATTTCCTTGCTTGCCATCATTCGGCGACCAGAAAACAACTCGACCGCTATAGCACGCTTCGATTCGTCAAGAAGAACACGAGCTACTGGGGTGTCGCAAAAGACTTTGACACCGTCGAGATCGTATACTTTAGCACTGTGCTGTCGCGTCGCTGTTGTCTTGGAAGTGGCAAGCCAGCACTGGGTGATATCTCCTAGACCAACTGGATCACCCTTTGTTGGATTGTACTTGTGACCTAGAATCTCGGCACTCTTTTGGAGTACACTCCTGAGCGGGTACTTTCGGCCTCCAACTGTGTGGATTGGTCCATCGAACCCGTACCGACTTTTATCCGCAGTCGTATCAAAATGAGTCTCTATACGCCTATAGTATCTGAGTAGATTTTCATACTTGAATCTCTCGTTACCTGCTCTTTCTGCAAGCACGTCCAAGTCAGCAGTAGATGCACGCATCCACATGCCAACATTGACGCCGCTCGACCCGGATAGTAGGCGTCCAGCCGGGTTGGGTATCTTTCTGTCATCAAGATACTCTTGCGGTGTCGTTGGGTAGTCAACCATCAGACCTTCTTGAAAGTGTGTCGTCCAATCCAGTGGGTCACTGACATCATTGACAATGGAGTGGTCCACTGCGTTTGCTCCTGCTTCCAGTAACACGATGCGCGCATCAGGAAGGTATTCCTTAAGTCGCGATGCGATCACCACGCCAGCAGTACCTCCGCCCACCACGATGTAATCGAATGTATCGTTCATGAGTATCTGGGAAAGAAGGTGTTTTGGTGTGCGGATCATAGAATGACTTGACCGCCTGGAAGGTGAAGACTGACGACGCAACCACCTATAGCTTTTATGTTGTAGTCATTGCTGTCCAAATAGCTTTCTAAGTAGTCTTGATGTTTACAACCTCGATGTGGTGCTATCACAAGCATTGTGCGGGGCAAGAATCATGTGGGGCACAATAGCCTCTGAGTGTGCATCACTGGAGGGGCTCGGCAACACAACCCCTCTGTCCATCAGTAATACCAACATCAATGTCTATCAGCTCGTATACACGAAGTCCTCTCCTCGTTTGTATTTGAAGGCCAGAAGCACCACTGTCCAAATGGCGACATCGGAAGCTGACCCATGTACGCCCAACCTAGGAAGCACCGACGCGCGCAGCTACAAGATATACAAGCTTCATACACGGAGCATCCATGTATTGTGTCTAGAATTCCTTGTATTACCATACAGTATGAATGGACTAGTGGCAAGTCAAAGACGTGATTGTATCCGGCTCCTATCCAACTCAAGACTCCCAGTTCAAATTAGACATCCAAGCCCCAGAGTACAGCACGACATACAAGGCTCCATAACTAGACTCGCAATACTTTGCAGATGCTTTCACTGTTGTTGTATCTTCAACGAGAGATTTAAGATCACATCTATCACAGCTACTTATCCACTGACCCACCCTCGTAGCGCCTCCCACATCGGTTGGTTGGCTTTGGCTGTACTCAGGTTGCGCACAGACCGTCAGAAGCACAGCGGGAGATTGGTTAAAGTACCTTCTAACGAGGCGAAACGCTTTCTTTCGCGTTTCCTGCAAGCAAACAACTACCATACCTACCACATAGGTATGGACTTAGTAAATTGGTAGCGCCAGGTCATGATTTGCCTTGAAGGAGGTTCAAAATCTTCTTGAACCAGTAAGGATATATGGGAAACGATCTATTTAGCCTTCAGATAGGCTCTCAGGTACAAGTGAATGGAGGACCAAGAAACCAAGGTGAAGGCGTCTCACACGCTAGCGCTTCTTTACCGTTCTAACTGCTTCTGTGGTGGACCACCAAAACAAACAGCTGTTCGTCTCCAATTTAGTTCCTTACTGTTCTCCATAGATCTACAAGAGTCTCAAAAAAAACGGTCGTGAACGCATAACCAATATTGCTGCTATGGGTATCACGCTCCACGAAAACAGACCCATCGAAGTCAGCCCGGATCAGGGCATTCAAAAAATGATAACCAGCAACTGTACGGAGCAGCTACCAGACACGATGGCTCCACCAGAGGTCACCGTAACCTCAGTGGCCAACATGATCAGGCCGAGGAGCAGCACGACATGTGAACCGACCACGTTCAACCCTGACAACTTCAATAAGACGGATGCTCGAACAGCAGCGAGCTCTATCTACGCAACCCTGTCCGGAAGCACAAAGCTGCAGCTCCTTGGGCCCCGGCTTGAGATCACAGGACCAGAGCTGCTCAGCTCCTACCATACCGATGCGAGTAAAGCCTGGACTACTCGTGACTCTTCCACCCCGCTAGCGCTCAGTGACACGCAGTTCCACCGCCCGTCGCCGGAGCGAGTCTCTTCAGCCTTCCCGTCTGAGCTCCCGCCTCGTCCTTTATCTAAACGATCATTCTTACAGCAATTGGCCAATCCATCTGCACACCCGACACACGCTGCTCATGCCAATGAGACCGTGTCTCATGAACACAATTTTGGCAATGCTGACATCGAATTGGGTGCATTCGGCCAAGAGGTAAGCCTTCACGATACAGATCGCTTGAGGTGGCTCAAGTTCTGGGGCTTGATGTTGATCGGAGTAGTACTGAGCATGGCCATTGGTATACTCATCTATTCTCTTGTGCGTCAAACTGAGGAGGACGACTTGGGATAGGAGTTGGAGAGAATGGGGGCTGGGAACAGCGCTAGAACTTGAGGAGAGACGATCGTGGAGATAAACAAGGTTGTTGACGGACGAATGGTAGAGCAGACGTGCAGTCAACTACAGAGTCGATAGTGTTCTTGAACGAACTCAGTCTTCTAACCTTCGCTGGCACAAAATCAAGGACAGTATGCTCGGCTATGTGGGCGGCAGGTGGTCCAGCAAGCAAGGAATCTATGCTTTCGCTTACGTGCTGCTCCGAGACTCCAGTGCATAGCGGAACGTAATCAAGGCTGCCGGATGCTACACCCGTCTCACCACAGCTCAATTCGCTCAGTTCGCTCAGGACTAGTATCTTCCAGCGTCCCTACAAGTACTCACAGCTCACTTCACAATAATACTTTACTCCGATGTTGGCTTCTAGCTGATAATCTTTCAAATTGCACCCACCAGAAACTGTATATATCATCAAGTACTATGCTTCTATTGTCTCATCTTCAGCAAACCTTCTTCCATGTCCCCGCCCAAAACGTTGAACCATCAGCCGTGCTATCTCTTCCATTTAGTATTTTTTTTGCTTTCGAGGAAATCCAGAGAGCCCACAACAGACAAGGAGCTTGAGCGCTGTAATCTCTTAGCTCTAAACGTTGTGGATCACATGGCTATATAGGAACTAGGAAGAAATGCGACACGCGTAGTGGTCACACGTGGAGTGACAAGAACTGCAGTAAGGGTGAGATGACGGGAAAAGAAACGTGATGAGAACGAGTTTTACAGAGACGTAGAACACGGGTTGACTAGATGACGAAAGCTAAAACAGGGGTTATGTTATACATCAGGGGCTGAGCTCGCCGCAGATGGCCTCAGATTTGATACTTCTCGTAATACCACATTGCCGTAGTGCCAGGGCTCGAATCTCCTTGCCCAAGATATTCGGTGTGAAAATCAACCCCGATTGCTGACAATCGCCTTAGCCGCGAACTGTATAGCCGCGACAGCTATGCCACAAAGAATCCGACGCGCCGAGATTAATGACAAGCTTGAGGAAGCTCGATGTGGCTATGATGTATCAACATCTACAAATACGCTTATCGATATCGGCTGTGCATGACTCGCATGAGTTAGCATCCGACAACAGCAGCTTGAAGTCTACGGATGCCTCGTTACTTTGAAGGCCATCACACCATCTCGTCATACCTATGGAATTTTCCTCAATGGCATGCTGATCGCCAGGGGAACGGCCAAACTCCGACGATAGATAATACCGCGATCCATAAACTTGGGTTCGGCCTTGGTAAGGCGCCGAGCATTGGCATGCAGTCGTTCCTGGGCATCGTCACTTGTGTGGACAAAACCCATGTTGACCTTCCTCTTTGCGCAAAGAGCGTGAGCTAGCTTGACTACAGAATTGGGATGGCTGGACTCTTATCGCGACATGTCAGGACTATAAAGCAGAGCTGGTGAGTGAACACAGCTTTTCGGGTCTCAGCCAGCTAACGCGACAATGCAGCTCATTCCCACTATAGCCGCCGCTACCGCGGTCCTCACCGGCAGCGTGTCTGCTGTGAACTTCACCGGCGATGTCGTGAATGGTGTCCCGGTCATCAGCGGCCTTGACCTCGCTGATGTACCTCCGCAGACTGTCTCGAAATACTACATGCGAGCTGGTGAGCTTAATGGCGGTCACCCTGTCCACATACCAATTATGGTTGCACGTGGAACACCAGAAAGTTTGGAAACGGGCAAAAAACTGTCACTGTCAGCTTCCATTCATGGGGACGAGCTGAACCCGGTTCGCGTGGTGCAACGCATCTTCGAGCAGCTTCAAGACCAAGTCGCGACACTCAATGGCACAGGTACGCTCTATAAATCTCTGCGAAGATTGCTGCTGACTTTGAGGTAGTCATTGGTATTCCCACCGTGAATCCGATGGGCATCTACTTGAACCAGCGAAACTACTTCACCTCAGGCGCTTCAGGATCGCTTACAAACGTTAACCGCATCTTTCCTGGTACCGCAGCCACGGAAGGAGGTAGTGGCCCTCAAATTCTAGCTTACAACATATGGAATCAGATCTGGGCAAACACATCCAATGTGGATGTTGGCATTGATCTCCGTAAGCTCTCCCTGCATCCAACCTCAGCAACACAGAGCTAATTCTAGTGCAGATACCCCCAGTTCTGGCGGAGAGACTTCGCTGTGGTGCTATTCTGACTTCCGCCTACCCTATGTGGAGCGTCTGGCCAAGCTCCTCCAACCCGATACTCTCAAAATTGATCCTGGTGAGCCAGGATCCATCGAGACAACTTTCGTCGATTATGGTATTCCTTCACTCACTGTGGAGATGGGCCAGGCTAAGGTCTGGAACAACAGCCTAATCGACCGTGTAGTCGATTATGTGAACCGCGTCATGGTCGACCTCAAGATCACACCTACCAACGAAACCGTGGAGCCCGACCTGAGCAACACATACATGATCACTACTTTCCATGATACATGGTCACAATATGGAGGATTCGTCGAGAGGCTTGTAGCTGTCGATGAGCCAGTCACCAAAGGCCAGCCTATTGCTCACATCCGGAACCCCTTTGGTGATATCATCGAAACACTACTCTCGCCGGAGACTGGACGTATGTTCCAGAGCCCACGCGACCCTAGCATCGAGCCTGGCGGCAGTGTTGGACAGATTGCTTACAACAGCACGGACCCAGAGTGTGCTGATGGGTGTATCCTGTCGGGTCCTCAAGGAAGAAGATAATGGAAGGTTTTGTGCAGCATCACAAGAATACATAAAGACACTCAACTTGGACTCTTCTTCTTCATACTAAAGACGTGCGACTCTCTAATATCTATACCATGATTTTCGTGTGATGTCTACCGAAGCATTAACCAATAATACGCCACACCAACAAATTGGCCTTACTACTGCATACTTGGCCTGCAATAACAAAGCCGTTAGGCTCTAGCAAAGCTCTGGCTTGCTTTAGGGATGACCTTATCATCCCCCATGTGATCGAGGACGTTGACCCGCCAAAATCTACTCACAGTCACGACGCAAGCACTCTATCACGGTAAATCCCTGCCTACTTGAACTATAAACATTGATTGATTTGATTAATTCATTACTCCCACATACAGTGCTTTAAGCAACTATTCAGATCGCGGTCTTTGTAGGTAAACAGAGCTCACCAATCGTGTCGTACCGCAGCCCATATCGTCATACAACAGTCTTCTATGAAGAAATGATCTATGCTGATGAAGGCTCTCGCTCCTGGGCAGGAGCTCCACCAGTGTTACCCCTCTGACCGGTAGGCACGTCGTCGAGATTCCTCTGAGCAGCGTGTGTAGGGTCATCCTTCAGTGTCTCGATAGAACCACCAGTTTGCTGGTCTTTGACGTTGCCAGCTAGACCAGTCAGGCCTTGACCCTTCCTCGATCCATCGTGAAGCTCTTGCGAAGTCTGACCTTGACCTGGGTGGCCGAGACCGGTGTGAACATCACCTGAGGTGGCGCCTTGGAGAGTATCGGAGGCTTGATGGTACATCTTTTGGTTGTTGAGGTCGGGGTTGGGTTGGAAGGTCTTAGAAGCTGGGGCGGTGCCGGCGGGAAGTGTTTGTGCGTGAAACTCGGGGACGGCATCGTTACCAACTAGCTTTCCGGGTTGATGCTGAGGCACATTAGTTAAGTCCAATCATATCAAACAATGAGAACGAGCAGTGTTAGACGTCGTTTTGTATTTAATCTCGGAGAGGCTGGAGTAGGTTCTTCTCTGGATGAATTCAGAAAGAGCAACAAATTGTACTTACACCACTACTCATAAGGGGCTCACTGGGCTTGACGTGTCCAGCAAACTCACGTCCATCGCTGACGGCATCGGGGTTCTGGTTCTGGCTCATATTTGCAAGATGTGCTTGATGTGTGAAGGCTGTGATTTGAAGTGATTGAACAATATGCTGTCGAATTGCTGGAGTACTTGAGCTGAAGTCTTCTGCTTCAAATAAGAATGTCCCAATTTGGGGCATTCTATAGTTCCATATGATAGCGTCACCATTTGACGTCGAGCTGATGTCATGCCAATGCCCACTAGATCAACCATCCACGGTGTAAGACTATGCCGAACTGAGCGGGTACCTGACGTCGGTTATGAACTCCGTAGCGTTGCATCTGAGCAGAGTCTTGCTCGTGATCGCCGATGGTGAAGACTAGGTGCTGTCGGGTGCTATAGGTGAAAGGATCGGAATGCCGTTCCGATGTTTCCGATCCTTTGACTGATGCTTCTCCCCATGTATTACGACATGACGTTTACATCCATCAAAAAGGAACATCGTTGAAAAGTCCTACAGTCATTCAAGTCCTTGATGTTTCACAATAACAGAGAAAACGCTAGCCCTCGGCGATTACGTAGGGATACAGTAGATATGGTTGTCGTGACTCGCAACAGCCTAATCTTACATAGACGCGACTGTTCTACGTGAGTATGAACATCGTCCTTCACGCCATGGCTCTTTTGGAAGACCCATAATCAGTCCTACGTTTGTACATGTTGAGGCATACGGGTGACCTACTGGAATCAGCTTCCCTAAAGGAGCTGCCTAAGACTTAGCTAGGCAGTCCTCACAATCTAGCAATAAGCTAGCTGACCGGGATGTTGATCACCCGGGGATGTTGATCACTCACAAATCTCAGCACTCCCACACAAAACACGTGTTATCTCTCCACGTACTCAACCAAAATGGGCGACCGTGAAGCAGCTA